CCCCCCAAAGGGTTCAAGTATCTGAACATGATATGAACCCACTTGTCCATATCTCTGTGTACCGGTCCACCTTTGGTCCTAATTGGACCGAGTTATCATCTTACTTAAGCCTGTCCTGGAATGTCCCAACGGACAATAAAGAGGAACATTACTATTAGGTGGAGGCCCTCTATTGGGGTTGCAGGCCATCACTATGTGGGAAAATAAGCGTTACCCAACTCCTAACATTACTGTAATGTAGGCAATAAGCTACTAGGAGCAAGTGCATCGCTTCTAGTAACAAGTGCCTTACTAGTAGTAACAAGGACGCTAGTAGAAACAATAAGCTACTAGGACACGTACACCGTAAAAAAGCTGTGAATGATCGCGCGTGACCCTACACCTGTGACCGCTCTCCTCAATAACAATCGCACTGTGAGGATACCTTTTGCCAGCACAATGCTCTTTGGCACGCCATCACTTTGGATTGGCAAATGTGCACATGTAATGGTCAGGTCGCTCGATGGCAAATGCTTCTCACGGTTCTCATTGCGACTTATGGATATTGCACTGGCGTGGGCCAAGCAGGAGTGACGATCGGCACCTTATGTGAAACCACCATGTTTCATGTTTGCTTTAGACCTTTAGACTGCTTTTAACATGTTTTTAAGACCAGAAAAGAAGCTATTAGTAACAAGTGCATCACTTCTAGTAACAAGTGCCTTACTGCTAGTAACAAGGACGCTACTAGGAGCTTTTTTGCGACCTTTAGACCGTGAAGAACATGTTTTAAACACTTATTTGTTCATTTTTTTTGTATTTGTTCATGTGTTTCACTGTGCTCGCCATTTCATTGGTTTCCTCCAAGGGCTCAGCTCCTACGGGCAAAGCTGCCTCTCCCAGAGGTGTGACCTTGGCACAAAGCAAACAGCTGAAATGAGTGACTGCAAGGAAACGCAAGTGGTAAGTATGATTGGGACCAGTCATGCTCAGGAAATGCGACATGGAGACAGTGATACAAAACACTGTCACTCGACTGATAATTTTTCAAGCAACACAAAATTCAATAATCGATTGAGTTTTGCATATATTTGCACACTTGCCAAACGTTTGCCATCATTGACAATGGTTTGCCCCCAAAACAAAATTACACTATATATATATATATATGTGGCATGCCGCAACATGCCAATTCTGATTGAATTCCTGTCTGTCTGCTCCAAATGACCAAACCAACGGTAAAAACACCACGCATGAACAAAACATAATTATCCATACTTTCGGTCAGATTTCTTTAAGCTTACCCCGGTACTGACCACAGTTGTGGGAACACTTAGGCCATCTGTTTTGAGTCGTCAACACTTAGGCGCCGGTCTTGGTGCGTGCTCTTGGCTTCGAGACTGAGCGCATTTGATGGACATACTTGTGACAGTGCTATGTGGTTCTACAGGGCATTGATATGGATCAATTGCCCAAGGTTTTGCATTTGCGAAAGACCAAATAAAAACTGATTTTGACTGTAATTATGTCGGTCCTTTGCCTTTGGGCGCCCAACATGCACAATACACGAATGGCCTGGGCCTGCTTGCTCCATGTGTTTGAAGTGGGTTTAATCATGGAAAGGGCCCTACGAGTGTAGGTTGGGGGCCATCGCTTCAAGGTTCTATTTGTCTGCTATTAGTAACAAGTGCATCGCTTCTAGTATCAAGTGCCTTACTAGTAGTAACAAGAAGGTATTAGAAACAATAAGCTCCTAGGAACAAGTGCATCCCTACTAGGAGCAAGGGCCTTACTAGTAGTAACAAGGATGCTACTAGGAACAAGAAGCTACTAGATGTGTGCCACTTACAAAGCGTGGTCGAGTGAGTTCTTGACGTCGAATTCAACCAGATTTTCTTTTGTTGGTAAAAACTCTTTGTTTAACTTAATTTAGTTTTGATTTAATTCTAATAGCTTTTTGTTACTAGTAGTAAGGCACCTGTTACTACTAGCGATGCACTTGTTACTACTAGTAACAAGAAGCTCTATTGTTTGTCATTGTTTGTCTTTTGTGTCTTTGGACCAATTGGCAGCCTGGAGCGGACGGACAACATGCTGCTGGCTGGCTCGATGGGAGTGACCGTACTGTAATGGTGCTCGCGGAAGTGTTGCCAAAATCCAAGGCTTGGAAGGCCCCGATTTGATGCGTTTTTCGTGATTGGGCAACTGAGCTTGTGCAAAAACCTGGCAGCGAAAACAAAAAGATCTCGCAACTTGCGTGTGTAGCGCTTGATGCCTCTTTAAACCCATGGCCATTAGAAACCACTTTCAAAAACCATAGCCTCTCCACAATTCCGTATGGCAGCAAACACCAAACAAACGCTTGTGTTGGGCATCTGACCTCAATGCCGGTGGGAGTGACGGTGACCAAATCATAGCCTGCGTCCTCAAAATGACGATCATTGCGAGCTGCTAAGGACCTTTAGGCCTTTGTTCTTAGTAGCTTCTTGTTGCTAGCAGCGATGGCCGCCAACCCAATAGCGATGGCCTCCACCTAGTAGCTTCTTTTTACTAGTAGTGGAGCTACTAGTAGTTTCTTGCTCCCACTAGCGATGCCCTTTGTTCCTAGTAGCGTCATTGTTACAAAAGAGTTGCACTTCTCAACACTTCAGGAATGCCTCCAAAGAGACAAAAGGTGATGACCAAAACCTTGAAAAATTGGTTTAAAAGCAATGAAATGAAATGAACAAGGAAAATAGGAGAGTAATTAAGGGAGATTTTTGGAACAGAAAGTAAGGGAGTTGTAGTACCATGTAGTACCACTACCTTCCTTTGTTCATCGAATCGAAAGGGTTACAAGAAGCTACTAGAAACAAGTGCCTCGCTTCTAGGAACAAGTGCCTCGCTAGTAGTAACAAGAAGCTACTAGTAACAAGTGCCTTACTAGTAGTAACTAAGAAGCTACTAGAAACAAGTGCATCGCTAGTAGTAACAGGTGCCTTACTAGTAGTAACAGAAGGTACTAGGAACAAGTGCATCGCTAGTAGTAACAGGTGCCTTACTAGTAACAAGAAGCTACTAGGAACAAGTGCATCGCTAGTAGTAACAAGTGCCTACTAGTAGTAACTAAGAAGCTACTAGAAACAAGTGCATCGCTAGTAGTAACAGGTGCCTTACTAGTAGTAACAAGAAGCTACTAGGAACAAGTGCATCGCTTCTAGTAACAAGTGCCTTACTAGTAGTAACAAGAAGCTACTAGGAACAAGTGCATTGCTAGTAGTAACAAGTGCCTACTAGTAGTAACAAGAAGCTACTAGGAACAAGTGCATCGCTTCTAGTAACAAGTGCCTTACTAGTAGTAACAAGAAGCTACTAGGAACAAGTGCATCGCTAGTAGTAACAAGTGCCTACTAGTAGTAACAAGAAGCTACTAGGAACAAGTGCATCGCTAGTAGTAACAAGTGCCTACTAGTAGCAACAAGAAGCTACTAGGAACAAGTGCATCGCTTCTAGTAACAAGTGCCTTACTAGTAGTAACAAGAAGCTACTAGGAACAAGTGCATCGCTAGTAGTAACAGGTGCCTTACTAGTAACAAGCTGTTTACCCCGTAACGACCAGTGTTCACGTTCTCAAGGGAGAGCCCCTCTCGCGGCGGGAGGGAGCCTACTTGAAGTTTAAAACGATCTCGGTCTCAGTAGCAAATAGCTACTAGTAGCTTCTTGCTACTAATAGTAACAAGGAAAGGTCTAAGGGTCCTTAGCACCAGCTTACAAAGGTCTCCAACTAGCTCTTCGTTCGCTAGCTTCTTCCCAAAGACAGGAAGGTCAAAAGAAACAAAAACACAATGTTCTTTGCCATTCTTTGCACCAAGGAGCTGTCGGAGGCATTGGCCCCTGGTATGAAGGCCTCTATTTCACTGGCAATTCTTTCGCATGTTTCGATGCATGTGTTTTGCTCATTCTTTCAATGTGTTCTTTTCTTTTGACTACATGTGTCTTGTTTCTTATATTTTTTAACACGTAATAGTATCATGTTACTAGTAGCGATGCCCTTGTTACTAGTAGCTTCTTGCTACTAGTAGTAATGCCAGGAGCTACTAGTAGGTAATGGTTTCTCAAAGAATGACAAAGATGAGAAAACATGTTTACATAGGTGTCTCAAAGTGGCTGAGACCACTACGCAGCTTGACCGGTCATCTGCTGCGTTGGTGGCATTGCAGGTGAGGGTGTTGCTGCAGACATGGATGGAGAAGATGCAGACATCGGAGGAACACCAGCTCTGGCAAACCTCAGCACCAAAAAAAATGTGCCACACGCAGCTCTTGGCGCATGGACTGAGGAGTACTTCAACTGAGGCTCACACTGAGGGCCACCAGGGTACATCAAGGGAAGCTGCGCGCAAAAACACGACGTTCGAACGAACTGAAGACAGGGGTTGCGACTCGGTAGGTTTTTTCTTCAGTCCCACGGTCCCACCTGATCCTCAGCGTACCTCACCAGCCGAAGAAACTGACGAAGAGCTTTCTGTTTCTAGTAGCGTCCTTGCTCCTAGTAGTGCCTCTGGTAGCGACTATCCAAGACTCTTCTGACTTTTCTCTGATTCCATCCTGATGGCCTCCAACCTACTAGCGATTGGCCTCCACCTGACTCTCCTCTGATTCCGTTGTTCTGGTCAACAGAAACGCTGCCGCAGCACGGACCAAACGGCTGGGTTCCAGGCAGCGGTCCCACCGACCGATATGTTCGACCCTCCTCACGGCCAGCCTGTGAAACAGCATGTGAAGGCACCGATATCGCTGATTCACTAAGCGATGGCCTCCAACCTATTAGGAATGGAAGCTAATAGGAATGGCCTCCAACCTAATAGCGATGGTGTCCATATGTTGACAAACGTTTTCCACTAAGACTGAAGTTCATTGATTTGACCCTGCGTAGCTTCTGCTACTCTGTGCAACAAACACGTCTTTTCGGAACCTGCAGTTTTGTGAAGGTGTTGCGCGCTGAAAACCATTGGAATGGCCTCAAGACGCACCAACCATCTGAAGTCCAAAGGTGCACATTCTGAGGCGGTGGCAAATATCCATCTAGCCAAGGATATCTTCTAACCTGAAAGTCTGTGTGGCAAAGGAACAAGAACGTCCACTTGACAACTAGAAATGTGTATCGCCCCAGTTGCACTGAACATATGTGTTGCCCAACACATATGCAAGCATTTTATGAAACTGAAACATTTAAAGAACTACTAGGTTGGAAACTGAAGAACTGCTAAGTTGGAGGCCATCGCTATTAGAAACAAAAAAGAAACAAGGAATAAGGTCTAATATAGTTTGCTTTAGGAACAAGAAGCTACTAGGGGCTCCTGGCCTTACTACTAGCAGCAAGGACGCTACAAGCAATATACGTATCATGGGCAAAACGACTTCCGTGTTGATGTCGTACATATTGGCCTCCACCCTAGTAGCGATGGCCTCCAACCTAATAGCGTCCTTGTTACTAGTAGTAAGGCCCGGAGCCCCTAGCGTCCTTGCTCCTAGTAGCGATGCCCGGAGCCCCTAGTAGCGTCCTTGCTCCTAGTAGCGG